AGGTCACGCGAACCTCACCGAGTGTCGGCGATGCGCCCATCGTGCACCCTTGATGGTTAACGAGTCTGCCTAGTTTGTGAATATTGTTGACATGATTCCGCAGATGTCCCCTCTCCACAAAGGCCTTGCCACAAGTCTCACACGCGTATACACGAAGCCCATACACTGAGTAGGTTAAATACCGTGTACTATAATTGATGGGGCTCGAAAGCCGCTGGCGGTTTATCTCCTGGTTCCTCCTCTTTCTTCTTCTTAGGCACCTTGGCAGGTGGGGGCGTTGACATCAGATTTGTTGTCAGCTGATTTGATTTGGCGAGACTGGGCCGAGTTGAATGCACACCATTGAAAAAGTGGTTAAGTGGCACGTCCAGGAGACCGCGTTTTTCGATCCAGTCGAGGCCAATCAAGTCAAGCCTTGGGCGGTTGGTAAGGTAGCATGTTCCCTTGAAATGAGTGCCCTCAACGGAAACGTCATAATCAAGCTCACCCGTAAGCCGGCAAAATCCGCCAGAAACATACATGGCCTTTTTGTCCGATGTGACCATCGGAGGCCGTCCAATCCTCTGCCATGTGCGCTTGGAGATGAGGCTGATGTCTGATGCCTTGTCCAGATGGAGGCGTGCAGGTTTGCCATTGATGGTAATTGTGAGATATTTCCTCTATGCCTCAAATTCAGTCTGGAATGTGGCTAAGATTGAGTTGGACTTTATACTACAGTAAGATGAAGGGAGTTTGGAACTTCTTGCCTTCCTGTCGTTTGTCCTTGAATTGCGTGGTTGGCCTGATGGACAGTGGTCTTCATTATGCCCTTGTTTGTGGCATTTCTGACAAACATGCTTCGTAAATGGACAGAAGCGAACAAAATGCCAATCACCACACTACCAGCACGCTAGTGGTGGTTTTCTGTGTGTGGGATCATGGGACTTCTGTGGCGAGATCGACTTAGTCCGAGTGACAGCACGAACGTTGGTGGTGGCAAACGAGGAACTGGGATGCTCCACGATCGCAGAATCATGCTTGAGATTCTTCAGCCGCTGACACTCGGCCTTTAATGTCCGCAGAGTAGACATCGGGTCCTGTTTAATTGTTGAGGGCAGACGTGTCCGGATTTCAGCATCACGAGGTGACTGCAAGGCGCTTACAAAGATGAGGCACTTGTATTTGTCATCGGTCAACTCTCGGAGCTTGAACCGTTCACACTCGCGGTTGACAGTACTGGCGAGTGTTATAAAATCATCTGCCTCGTTTTTCACCAGCTTGAGACACTGGTACCGAATATTGAACAAAGAGGACTTTTCGCCGAAAGTCTCTGACAGGCGCTGGATGGTTTCATCGAAAGTGAAATCACGAGGGTGTTTTGGCCGAATGATATCCGCGTACCGCTCGTGTTCTCTGGTGCCCAGTTTGCGTAAAAGCAGGCGCACCTTCCATGCATCATCGGCCATAATACAATCCACGCGGAAAATGTCTTTCCAACGTTTGAACCGAGCGTCAAAGGTAACGCCGTAGTCGGGGTCATAAATGAACTCAGTGACATAAGCCGCAGTGGCGTCCGCTGATATGGACAATTTAGCGGAAGAATCTGGGTCAGACAAATGCAGACTGAATTTTTGCATCACAGACTCCATCAACTTCAGGTGTGCAGCTTCGAATTGAGATTGGTGTTGTTGCAGGATCGCGAGCAATTGTTCTGATGAAATAGACATGGTGAGTCCTGACACTGCGTCGCGAAAATATTATAACGAATGCCCAGGCCGAGATATTGCCGACAATGACGTCCTGTGTGAGTCCCCAAAGAGAGAACACGACAAGAAGGGTGCAACGGCAGAAGTCTATGAGTGTTAGATGTACAACGTATTTAGGAAACAAACGCGAGTAAGCGATGTCCCTTGAGC